AGATATGTCGTTTCTTTCAAATAGACAATAGTCCGATCTATGTAGAAGTCTATATTTTCTTATGCATATTTCTTTTTTTGTTTTTGAAACTATCATTTTTTATACCCGGCGCATAACGCGCACCCCTAAATTTCGACCTCATTTTTTGTGTTAAAAGTGCGCGTTATACGCTGGATTTTACGGTAATTAATTTTACAGTTGATTATATTTAATTAATTAATTAGCTCCAACGGGTTAAATTTCTCAAATTTGAGTATTTTTTTTTATGTATAACCCTTAATTTTCAATGTAGTGATTCAAAAGAAAATATTTCATGAAAAAAAAACTGCAGTAAATCATAATGCGGTAGATAAAGGGTTAATTTAGAAATACGCCTCGTACTTTTAACGTACAGTCAAATGACGGAGTCGAAACCTGAGTAAGCACTCCACTCTCAGAGCTGATGTTTTGTCTAAGTTTGAAATTTGAACTCTCTTTATTTAACAAGAATACGATTTAATCCCCACGAGAATATCTTTCGAAGTAGAAACCCAAACTTACACATACAAAAAACCGTTTAAGAATCTTATTCTATCTAACAGGTTACTATAACTTTAAAAAAGAGAGAATCGTTAGTAACTTTTAAAACAAAAACTGTTTATATCCCACTTTTAATAACAAATATTTAAGTTATCATCTTAAGCACGTTGGCATGTTATATTCATTAATATTGTTAGGTAACACGAATGTTTGAGCATAAACAGAAGATGTGAAGCAAGGTAATGGATAAAAAACAAATAAAACGCTTTTCACTATATATATATACGACGTACGCGAAGGAAAATATTATAATTATGTTTAACTCGATTTATATTGCGATGAATACAAATTAAATATTAGTTATTTTAATAAGTGCTAAAACCTGTTGAATAACATAAAATATTATAAAAATAAAACCTATGCTATTAGAAAACTTATGCAAAATCTTAATTTCATATGAATCGAATAATAATTTACAGTGAGTGAGTGAAGATTAATGTCGTACTGTTTAGCTACACGAGGGCTTTTGGCGATGGACCTCGTGGTCAAGTGACGAGGATGACACCTGAGTTGGCATCCCCTCTCTTAACTACCACACCACATCAACGGGAGAACGTTTGAGCACTCGACATATTTAATGTGCATCGCTCCCCTTCACGGCGGGTCTTAAATGGCACTGGGCTCAAGCTCATGACACACCAGCCATGATCCGATACCTATACCACTTGGTTATAATAATTTACAGAACAATCAATTCAGGGAAATTATAATATATCAGTACTTCTCTCGAAGTTTCAATATTTGAGACCCAATATTTAATCATAATTTTCTACTCCCCCCGTACAATAACAATGTATTTAATTCAATAATATTATATTTTGGCACTAAAGCTATATAATACGACTTTAACCTCTTCAGTACCACCGGCGTATATAAACGTCTCGCTGAGCCAAAGCGATATTTTCAACGGACGTATATATACATCTTTCTGAAGTACGATCTTTTCTGTACACTACTACCCATAAAATTATTTCGAAGGCTTGGGAATGCAATAAAAGGACTTTAGAAGTGTTTACGAAGGATTTACTTATTTCAGAGGATTTGCTTATTTATTCCTCTCCCTCCCCCAATACATCACATACTCGCACCTACGTGGGAAACGGTGGCATTGGGGAGCGAATTGCTTAAATTTTAATCGGTTTAAGGGATTAATTATAAATCAAACAAATTATGAAGATAAGTGTGTGTGTGTGATAAGTGTTAATTTTTGCATATAATTTTATATGTGAAAACCCCTTGGAGTCACTGGTGATTATTAATGTTGTTCTTAACTTAGTATTGTTGTTTAATTAGTTATAAATTGCTCAGTCCTGATACATTTATAGTTTTGTTTTATCAGTGTAAATGTGTTATTATTTTTTTTATCATGTCTTAGTGTATCTTGTTTGCTTAGTTTCTGTAAATTAATAATTTTTTAAATATTCTTTTGTTTTCGACTTTTCAATGAGCTCGCACCCCCTCGTAAAGTTATTTCCCCCCCTAGGGGTCGCACCCCACAGTTTGAGAAATGGTGTAATAAATGAATGTGTAATAAAGCATAAGTTTCATTACATGAATTGAAATACGTTGGAAATATATATTTCAACTAATGTTGCAAAAATAGAGTTGAAAATTGACAGTTTATTTCCGGGAACGAATGCATTATATGTGTACAGGAAAGAAACATGTGTAAGATTTAAGTAATGAACAATTGTATAATAATAGACAGTACAATTATTTTGTTGTACTAGAATACCATTATCTTTTAAAAAGTAGCCCCTAGAATATTAAGAGATTTCTCTTTTTATTTCAGCTTAACTTTCAGATTTCACTATGCAGTAAAGTGTAAATGAGACACATTTTAGCAATAATAATAGCTGATTTAATTATATAAGTATATATAATTTAGGAAATATGTTTTAAAATAATTAGCGATAGTGATAAATAAATCAGTAGTATTTAAAATAAAAATAATAATTATTAATTTAAAAATAGTATTGGAGTATATATTTCTTAAAATAATTTTTGTAAAAGTCCTTCTAACCAATATCAAAATTAGCTTTGGTAAAAAGACTAAATCCTAAATGTAAAGCGACGTCGCACGTCTACGTCAGGCGAAAAAGATTAAGGTGTTGCCAACTTACCCCAAAATTAATTTTGTACACTGCTGTTTGTAAAAAATGCAACACCATGATGGAATCATCAGAATTAATTGAACTTTGCAGCAAATATCAATTATAGGATGTTACGTAAAATAATAAAGTGTCAGAACCACCGTGCATGCGTGGCGTGCACTGCACCCTCTGAACTGATGCTAAAAGCATATAAATAGAGGGCTGTAGCGGGACGTCGAAAATAGTCGATGATTATTTGTTAGTGGCGAACGTTTAGTGAGATCTAAGTATGCCTCCACGACGAAATAAGGAGAAATTCCAACAACTTACGGAATTTGAACGGGGTAGGATTATCAGCCTTCGAGAAGGAGGATTTTCCTACCGCGCAATAGGAGCTCTTGTGCAGCGGAACAGTTCCCCAGTGATGCGAGTCTGGAAGCAGCGGACCGACGAGCACCGAACAACTCGAAAAACTGACAGTGGACGATGGAAGGTGACGTCAGCGCGACGATCGAAACCTGCTCCGCATGTCGGTGAATGACCGTACAGCTTCCTCCAGGCAGTTGGCAGCACGTTTGTCTACTACTACAGGTGTATTAATGTCGGCTTCGTCAATTCGACGATGTTTGCTGCACCGTGGATTGCGTTAAGGGTGACTTTATATCCTCATCATGGTAAACCATGGACGGCTGCGTCTGTAATGGGCTCATGAGCTCAGAGCCTGGCAAACTAATTGGCATCAAGTTGTCTTTTCAGATGAATCACACTCCAATTTGTGGAACCATGATGGCCGAGTTTGTGTTAAACGCTATGCCGGTGAACGCTGCCTTCCCGAGTGCATTATCGAACGACATAGTGGCCTAACACCTGGAGTTATGGTTTGGGGTGCGATTTCGTAATATGGACAATCCAATTTGCTACGAATTGAGGGTAATCTCAATAACAACAAGAACGTCCGTAAAGTGCTAGAGTCCGAAGTCGTTCCCTTCCTTCAAGGCATCCCTGGAGCTATCTTTCTAAAAGATAATCCACGTCTATATGTTGTAAGGAATGTTCAAGACTTCCTTTCAGCCCAACACATGCAACTTCTTCCTTGGCCTACTTATTCGCCAGATATGTCACCTACTAAAAATAAGTGGGATTTGGTTAGTCAGCGTCTCGCTCGTGATCCGCGTCCTGCCGCTTCAAAAGACGAACTTTTGCTGCGCATATAAGCAATATGGAATTCTCTTCCACAAACAGACATTGAAAATCTGTTGCCACGTCGTATAGCAGCACTTATTGCACCGCGTGGTGGCTACACCAATTACTAATTTCCGACCCTTTATATTGTTTTTTTTTCCTTTGAAAATTTAGTCATTTATTTGTACTAATACAAGTTGTTTGTGCATTAAATTTCATTTAAATCTGATGATTTCTTCATGATGCTGCACTTTTTACAAACAGCAGTTTACTTTCAAATTTTTCTGAATGGATAGTTATTTAGCATGTTATGATTTTCTGCTTCATCAATTATTAAATGATTATGTTTGAAAGAAAAAAGTAATAGTTTAAAGTATTTTATAAATATAGTTAAAAAAATCCGTTTCCGCGTAATACATTCGTTTTAGCATTTATGTAATAATTATAACTAACAAGTAATATAAAAAATTTAAGTCAATTCTTACTTAGGTCAACAAAGAAAATTTTTATTTTAGTTACTTTTTATTACCGTAAAATCCGGCGTATAACGCGCACCGGTGTATAACGCGCACTCATACTTTCAAGATGCATTTTTTAGTTTTCAGGTATGTTCGCCGTATAACGCGCACCCTGCTCTTTAAGAACAAATCTGAAATTTTTGTATACAACTTTCTTATGTTTTGAAGTCATTTATTCGAGATTTTATGTGACAGATTTTTGAAATAATATTATATTTCTAGAACCAGAACTCTTTTAGTTCATAAAGTATATAATTTATTTTAAATAAACAGTATTTCTATATGAGTAAAAGTAAAAAAAAATTTATGCGCATCTCTTTTGTTATTTTTAAAGCTATCGTTTTTATACCCGGCGTATAACACGCACCCTTACATTTCGATATCATTTTTTGTGTTCAAAGTGCGCGTTATACACCGGATATTTTACGGTATAAATAGTTACAATTAATATAAAGAAGTAATACTATTAAGTGACAAAATAGAAAGCGCGTTTCCTCGGAATTATCCATTTTCCTTTCTATATATGGTGTTAGACTATTTTTTTTGTTTATTACTATTTTTTCATTCATTAAATTTAATTTTATTCTAATAAAATAGTACAGTAAGAAAGAAATCCCGTTCTCAGAAATTAGGAGATCCCAGGTGGGATTTGAATTCACGACCTTTGGATTAGAAGTCCAACACACTATCAATTGCGCTACAGGGAAACAACGAACGATTTTCCTTTCTATATAGGGTGTTGAACTATTTTTTTTGTTTGTTTCTATTTATTCCTCTTTTAAATATTTTATTAAGGGGACACAGTGCGATTCAATTGACAAAAATCGGTCAAAAAATCAAATCTAATTTTTTTTAGCCTAAATTATTCTTTAAATATATTTCTCTCTCTCTCTCTCTCTCTCTCTTTAACCTCACAAAATTTAAAAACTCTAAACTTAAGAAACGCAAAATTATGGTTGCGTTTATGTTGGTTTTTATTCTCAATCCTATGGCAAAACAAAACTTTAAACAGACTTATCTCAGAAAGATAAAATAACTAGTTTGTATTCGTTTAAAATGCTACGGCTTTTTTTCTATTGTGCGTAATGCTTTGATTTTTTTTATCTATTGTGATAATAGTACATGTAACAAAGGTTCGTATGCATTTTTGAATCAATGCAATACTTATTTTTTTTAAAAATAATTGAACTCGGAATTTATACTTTTTTTAAGGAATTTTCAATAAGCATTCATAAAAAGAAGTATTGCACGAATACCAATAATGTTATCGCAAAACCCATGCCAACTTTTGTTATACGTGGTTTGATGTACTTGGAAATCAAATTTCATGAATGTACATAAATTTTTGTAGGAGGAATAGAATTTAAAAAGAAAATCACTTCACAAATATTTTCCTTAAAAAATTAAATGGTTAGCCTTTTATGAAATTTTGAGCATAAAATCTGTTTTACATAGTATACGCACATAGGAAGCAACCAAAACAATTTAGAAAATTCTTAAATTAAAAATTTTAGTGTAAATCGTACCATGACCTCTTAACGATTGAAAATTGGAACAAGATATATATATAAATAAATAAATATAGGGAGAGTTGTAAGCTAATAGTAGGAATTGAAAAAGTGTGAAATATTTAATTGACTCTCTTCAAGGTATCTTCATCAATATTTAATATTAGTTAGTTGTATTAAATTTTAACTCGTGGATATTTTTGTGCTAATTTTGCTAAATAAGTCATATTTTTTTATTAACTAACTTGTCTTACAAATTTTAAAAAATACCTCTTTTAACGCAACTCGAAACATAAACGTTTTAAGAGCTTATACCAGTGACCTTTTAAACTCCCAATTTTCGAATTCGGTCTTTCAAAACCCATTTGTTCAAATTGAGAGATTTCAACCTTCACGGATGGGCGCTTAACTTAAACCAGACATCAAACAATACACACACACACAACCAAGAACAACAAACACAACATTTAGACTCTCACAACCATTCAAGTGAGTTAGGAGTGATTTTAAACAAACAAATCACAGACTGGAGCAAAACAAAATTATTCTATAGAAAAAAAAAGAGCGAATTAAATTTTTTTTTTATCCCGTAGTGTTCTATGTTGAAACGCAATCTAAAACTCTTTGGTCCGTTGCTTTCTCAGCAGCGCGTCGAGCAACAAACAAAAATCGCTGAAGCGAGGCAACTGCCTCCGGAATCCGAAGAGCATAATTTTGGGAGGATGGGGAGCAAAAGGGGAAAATACCAGGATGAAGAGAAAGAGAGAGGGGGAGAGAGAAAGTTCCAATATGGCTGCCTCTGGATTCCTCAGGGGTGAAGGGTGATGCATAGCAGACGATATTGGGAGAGACGTGATGCCCTGCATCGTCTGAAGATAGGAAGGAAACGTCATGAGGCATGTATGAAGAGATGAAGAGGCATCATTAGTTATTGCCATGTTCGGAATGAGGACTAAGTGGTCAAAAAAGAGGATAGAGAAAGGGGGAAGAAGAGTATGGGGATGATGCTTAGGCAGTTGTCGTCAAAGGGTTTGTCTTAATCATAATAAGATTAGATATTTATAATTATTATTTTAATAATAAAGAAATAAGGTAAATAACAAATAATATAATTTTTTTTAAAGTCGATTTCTATTGTCAACAAAGAAAATTTTTTATTTTAGTTACTTTTTATTAAATATATTACGATAAATAAATATGTATATATATATATGACAGAATCCCAATATTAAGTGGTAAAATAAAAAGCGATTTTCCATTCTACATATGTTGTTGGGGTATTATTTTTGTTTGTAATTTTTTATTCATTCATAAATCACATTCTCAGATATTAGGCCATCCCAGGTAAGATTCGAAACCACGATCTTTCGCTTAGAAGTCCAATGTGCTATCCATTGCACTACAGAGACACTATAAACGATTTTCTTATTTATACAGGGTGTTGAACTACTATTTTTGTTTGTGTTGCTATTTATTTATTAATTAAATTTAATTAAAGAATTAATATTTGAAAAACTGTATTAACACCAAGTGTCATCTACTACAAGTTCAAAAAAATGTATTTGAACACTTGAGTGGATGAATAAAAGTATTATATTAATGATTGAAAATTTGAACAAGATATATATATATATATAT